TTCAACACAAATGTTTCTTTAAGATCCTAGTGGCTTCTCCAAGCTCCATTAGCTTATTCGCTATGATTGGTTGAGGAAAATCTTCATCTGAGGGCTATAGCTATTTCCTCAGAGAGTCCGGCCAACATGACATACAATGTGTGCATTGTTGTGCACATTCATAAAAACCTAACAAGTAATGGTAATCCAAGAATTGATAATGAAAGATCCTGTCTGTTCTATCCCTGGATCTTCGCCCACTTGGGTTGTATTTGGGGGTCATTACAGATCAGTGCCAGACTGTATATTTGTCTCTTCCAATACGAATTAGACGACGAAGGAGAGTACACATACGACGATCAGTACGGAGACGAAAACGAAGACTAGGACTTAGGCTTATAAAGGCTAATAAAAATGTCTGCAGTATGAAAGGAACTAGAAATCAATCCAAGAAAGTTATACTTCATGAATTCCGGAATTGAAAAACACATTAAATTCGCCGTATTGGATCCACTATTTTGAATTTCAAAAATTCATGATTATATTCGTAATCAGCGATCCCAAAAATCTCCAAGTAACAAATTTCAAGTGAATGCAATAATTTTTCAAAACTTTGTCTGCTTTTGAATTTCGAAAAGCCACTCATTTAACACCGAATTTTCAGTAATCTACCCAATTGACTTTTTTTCAACTGAATCAATTTTGGAGAGAGGAGGGAGGGCTTCAGTGCGCGAAGAATGCCTCATATGTATGTAACAAATTTATTATACTAATTAATAAATTCGTATTAAATTCCAAACTCATATTCAACACACATTATTTTATTCCACACCGACATATCGTAGATCCTGTTGCGCAAAGAGTAATGGAAAAAATATGAAAAAAAAAAACAACAAGATGCGCTCAACTATCCTTTTAACGAACTTCTCAACTACTCAAGCGCTCGGTTGACAAGCGTGGAAACGAAAAGCATTATGTCCCGTACAAGATATTTCCAAACGATTTAACAAGTGAATTGAATTTGTTACGCCCTGCGATCTGCAGCCGCTTGCCAACTTACAGACATAAACGAGCGAGGATAATAGAGAAATAGGAAGCGGCTGTGACTGTGATGTCTAAGCGTTTTTGTGTGTTCTCTAACTTTTGTCCTAGCACATATGTGTATGTGTGTAGCTACATGCATGTGTGTGTATGTTTATATATGTATGTATTTATTACTCCTACTGCCCGTTTCAACGTTTCATGCCAACAATGCCATCATATCAATTTCAATAAACTTCATATGAATGTGTTAGAAAACACATTTACAATACCTACTAGTAGTTGTTTTTGTTGTTGTACAAGTAGCTTATTTTTTGCGAAGTTTAAACGTATGTATGCAGCTAATATCGCACAACAGACAATCGTAAAAATGTGAGTATTATGAAGTTCAACGAAGGTGAATGCCAAGAGGTGGGGGGAAAAAACTGACGCGTCGTCACAATGGACTAGAAACTCTATTAACAAGGATGCTTTCGAACGTATGCGCAGCGTGTGTGAGTGTGTGATTTTTATTTTTTTTTGATTGTAAAATGTCACAATGAAGACCAAAAATGTCGCAGCGGCAAAAAAGTAGTCAACTTAGGGGACAAGCAAAAACTACAAAAAAAAAGGACTAAAAAAAAAGCACTCACGTATAGACACGTGTGTTAGTGTTGGAATGATATGACAAGCTTTGTAGAATGGCAGACAGTTCCGAGTGACATGCAATCTAAGCTACTTTTGCGCAAATAAAAACGAAATTTTTATTTTACTTTGTATTTGGCTTTAAGCTTCGATAGCACTTGTCCCTTGTTTCACCATATAAGCGCTCCTGCGTCGAGAAGAATACGCTTGTGATGTCGGGAGCTTAGCGCAAATTTGGTATTGTGCATGTAAGTGCGAGGGGAGTTCAAAAAGTACGTGGAATCAAGCTTAATGCATTTTTAAAGAATTTTAGAAAATTGTGCCACTAGCATGTGAGCGGGGAAAACTCATTTGTCGAGCCCATGTACAGGGTGGCGCCGAATAACTGTTACCCAGTTTTTTTTTTTTTTTTTTTTTTTTTTAAACTAAAAGGACCCCTTATCGATTTTACTAAAAAAGTATTTTATTGTTAATTTTCCACAGAACTTACTGGAATTTTTATTAGAGCGTGTCTGAATCGGTAACAAAGTTCGCGGCGAGTAAATTTTTGACAAGTGTAATTTTTCGCTGATGTGTGTAATTTTTGGCTAAATAAAAGCTTAAATTGATGAATTGCAGTCAATGATGGTAAATGTTTTTTAAAATATTCAGCCATATCATGAATTTAATTTTCCCCGAAAAGGTTAACTTTTCAATTTTGTTTTCCATATATTTACCATGGGCGGAATAAAAATTTATTTTCGGGTGAATTTTTTTGTATCAAAAATTTGCTGCTGCCAAAAAGATTTCATTTCACACAGCAGATTGGCAAGCAGCACGCAAGTCTTCGTCGGTTAATTTATTCCATATCTCCTGTAACCATATTCTAATTTCCTAAATTTTGAGTCCTTTATACTCCCCCTTTTCTCCAACATAACGCCTCTTACTCAGAAATCGAATAGACTCGGAACTGATGATTAGGACGGCCATTCATTCGATCAATACTGTACAGTTTTTCTACCGGTACAAGAAGAGATAGACCCATGAAAATGTATACTTAAACTAGATCGCCCTCACCCGCTTCGAGGAGTGTATGAAATTCCTACGTGCTACATTGAGTAAAATTTATTTCAAGAAAACTCAATTCAAATTCGTTTAACCATCTTCAAAATAATTTCAAACAAAGGGCCGGTTATTTTTAATATTTTTATTGAGCCGGTTGTTCAATGTCTGTTATCGACGTGGTCGACTCCATGCATACAACAGGGATGAATATTGTCGGGTCTGCTAGTATTATAACATTTCATTTAAACTAATTGAATTTAATTTAAAAAAATGTGGCAACCCTTGTGAAAAACTTCAATATTATTCAAAACTTTCAAACTAAAGGTTTCTTAACAATTAGGGAGTTCACAAGTCGTGCTATTTGTCATATTTGCTCTTTTGTACTATTTTTTTAGAACAGTTGTAAAATGAAACTTGTGAGCATCCCATACTTTTTCGTGTGCTATTGTACAATGTTTTAACAATAATATTTGACAAAATCAAAATTATTAAAACAGCTTTAGAAAGTTTATAATGCCCAGAAGAATCGATAAAAGCAAATTAATGGCTGCGATTTGCGAGAAGTACGCGCAGGACGCAATGATGGAAGGAAGTGAGTCGTCAAATAAGTAATTTATTAGTTTTTTAAATTTATTTGGTGCATTTTTGTTAGGCGATGAAGATGAGGAGGAAGAGATCGATGAAACTTTTAGGTTGAATATGCTTGTGTTGTTGGAAAATCGCCGAAGTGTCCATCTAGGAGTTCCGAAATCAAACAATTGGGATCTGAATGTGTTACAACCTCAAATAGGCGGTTTTCTAAAAGAAAATCAATTAGGGACTTCTCTTCCGACACTGTCCACATATGGTTTGGTTTTCCCCGGACACGCTTAGTTTTGCACTGAATTAAAAAAGATCTTTAATAAGTTAAATATGTTATAAATTAAAGATAACTTACTCCATTGCCATGAGATGACTCCATTTTTTTTTATTTAAAATTTGAATATTTTATTGTACTCAGACAAGGAAAAATGTAAATAAATAGAAATGTCTGATCCAATAGCACTCACAAATAGCAAAGTAAACATATTTTTCAAAGTTGTATTGTAATACAACAATTTTACTTGTAAAGCAAAAATAACACTTTTAAAACTGTTCTAAAAAAATAGTATAATAGAGCAAATATGACAAATAGCACGACTTGTGAACTCCCTAAATATTTCGTTAGACAATCATATTTTCATTCTTCAGATAGCTTGCGTATAATTCATTTGAATTTGACTTTTCAAACAAGTGGCAACCCTTTTCAAGATGTATTCAAACTACAACTTTTTTAAGCCTATTGACGTAAATTTTTTTTAATACAACTTTTAAATAAATAACTGCCTTACCTGAAGTTGGATTTAATTTTTTCAAAAGATGGCAGCCCTCATGCATGAGTTGATAATGATATTATATATCTCCATACCAAGTTCCAGTAATCTACCGAAAATATTTCCTGAGAAATGCAGTATGAAAAATTCCGTTTGTATGAAGGGTGCCGCGCCCGCTTGTCTAATCGAGATTAAATGTATCCTATATTTTAAGTTGGGCTAAATGATAGCAGTGTACAAAATTTCGTGATGATCGGTGAAGTAGTTAAAGCATGAAAGCGTAGCAAACAAACAAACTCACTTTCGGATTTATAATATCTATTAGTAAGGATAAGGAAGTAAGGATGATCAGAACATCGAGCTGAGCCGATTTAGCCATGTCCGTCTGTTTGTATGCATTCTAGTCTCTTATATGAGCCACGAAGCACAATCTTGCATCATTTGTGAGGTTTAAGTGTATTACTTTCACTGGTGTAAAGGTATTGGGAAAAATATTTTAATAAACCTAGAAACTAATTTTGATTTTAAATTTGATTAACTTTTAGGCAGTAGTCTACCAACTTTTGTGCAGAGCTGAATTTCAAACGATACATATTAACTTAACCAATCTGTAACAAATTTGATACACATATTGCGCCTGCACTCCCTATGCTTCGACTTGAAAATATTTAAAATCGAACAAGAATTCTTCAGTATTGATCTTGCAAAATTTGGCGAAATTTTTTCACAAGCACACCATATTTTCAATTAAAGACTTAATGATTTTGTGAAGTTCTTTATAAGTATTTCTGCTGTAATATTAAAAGAAATTCTTTTAAAAAGCTTTTTAAATGAGAAATTTCATAGCAAGCAAATATCGGCTGCCTTTACGATATAAACATAAAAACAATATTTATTAAAAAAGATGCAAATACATGTGCAGATGTGTATCGATTTGTCGTGAAGTGTTTTCAGTTAATTTCACGCCTGCTTGGTAGTCCAGTCGATGGTAGGTATCTGTTGTGTTGCAAGCTTACGAAATGCCTCCGCAAATAGATGTGAATGTGTCGTAATCATACTCTGCCAGCGGGTAGTTTCCATCACTGCCGTGGCATGAGTAATTATGAAATCTATGGCTTGTGCTTTCAATTGATGCGCACTATGTAGGTCGGCTAATACCAAAGTTTCCACTGCATTATCTACGGAGAGCTTCCGACAGATAGCCTCTTCGCATATCACTTTCAGCTTTTCGAGCGCATACTTATCAGCAGCAGCTAGAAGAACCTCAGCCATTTGTTCTTGTTCTAAATTTGGTGCTTTGCCTGTGTAGATGAAACACAGCATTTCTTTCAGCACTTCATGATCGATGTCTTCGATAACGACATTATTCTGTTCACGCTCCTTCATTTCGTGCTCAAACATAGCACTAAAGACTTCACTTCGTGCTGCCAATATAGCTTTGTGCGCTCGAAATTCCCTGCCGGCTACCGTCAACGTTACATCACTGAATTTCTCATTATGAAATAGCGCACCCAAATCGTCGGACAAACGACATTCGGGTATTTTAAATTGAAGGGCATTTGATTTGCCACAGATATTCACTATATCAGATACAAAGCTAACTTTACAGAATATAGTTAATTTGTCTTCCGGTAAAAGACCATTGCTCTCATCCAATAGCTCATCTCGCCATAAGATTTGTTCAATGCCCCACTTTTCACCCTCTCTGAAACGACGACAGGGCAATGCCATGGATTTGATTTCTTCGCCTTTCGCATTCAATATGGAGCATTTAAATTTGGTTCTAACTTCTGATTTGTTACCCAACGATGAAAATACTAAATATATCGAGAAGTAAGTGGCACACTTTCGATGCAATTGAAAATACCATTTTAGTTTGTCACTAGCACCGGTAGAAATTTCGGGCGATGTTAGTGCTTCATCAATTTCCTCGTAAAAAAAACTAAAATTATTTATGGTCCACATATAGCTGAAGCTCTCCACTTTAACCTGCATGTTACACCAATTCTCGGCAACTAGTGTGTTAAGTTCCTGCGATGCTTCTCTGCTAACCGCCATTGTATTTGATACCTGCTGCGTTCGGATAAGACAGAATATGTATGTATGTAAGTAATTCTAGCAGTTTCGCTTGCCTGATGATATTCGTTCACCGGCAATCAGGCTGACGTGGACTAAATCCTCCAAGCGGCAATGAAATGTTATTTAAACTCAAGTTTTTTAAATTGCTCCTCTTTGCGTATTGAATTAAGTTTTTAAAAATATTTGCAAACGAATTTTCTACCCAAATCGCATGATTCAATAATAATAATAATAATTAATAATAATTAATAATTGAATCACACCCAAATCGTAGAAGTTTTAAATCTGAAAAAATTAGAAATTGGTAGTTATCGTGATTCAAGGCGAATTAATATAAGGTGATAGCAGTAGTACAAAAACAAAAATTTACATGTATTTTGTTTTTGCTTTGGCGGCATAAACTGTCAAAATCTGTAAGAGTGTGTGTAGAAATTCAAACAAAATTTTTCAGTTTGATATCAGAAGCCGTGCGGCGAAACACATACACAAAATCAGCTGAGCTAGTAACACCACCTTATATAAATTCGCCTTGTATTGAATCATGGGTTGCTATGGCACAATCGTTTCAGCTAACTTGTAAATATATAAATTGTACAGTACTTATTTTATATAAGAAAGAAATGGATTTAACAAACCATTTTCCTGCACAAAGTCCAACATAACTAATTCAATAGCCCTCTAGAAACATTGCAAACTTGAGTAGATAAAATCAGATAGTCTCCACATCTGCCGATATAAACTCTCATAACGAAGTCCTCCTTCTTTGAATAATGACGTGCTTATATTGGCTCAAACCAGAGTTCTAAATAAATCTTATTTCTTCATCCAAATATATATGAGACAAGGCGAATTCATGCAAGATGGTAGCGGTAGTGCAAAAACAAAAATTAGCATGTATTTTGTTTTCACTTTCGGTACACACATGTCAAATTTCAGCTATTCTTCGCTCAAGGAGGCAGAGGGGGAAAGAAAATGCCAACACTTGCACTCATTCATAAGAAGTTTTGACATACATAAGTGTACCGGGACAAATTAAAGCAGCTTTTCTAGCAACACCACCTTATATGAATTCGTTTTTTATACGAGATATTTTTTATTTTTTTTTATATGTACAGTGACGAACAAAAGTATTGACACACAGAATTTTTCGCAATATATGCAAAGTTTTTTATTCTTATTTATTTGCGTTAATTTTTTATAAAAATATGGTTCATACTCCACCAATAAACATAAAAATCAAATCTCCAAACTTTGTGCAAAAAAATTCTAAGAATGCAATTTTATATCCCATTAAATTTTAGTATAAGAAAGTGCAAGCTTGAAGTTGCTAGAAGATTGCGTTGATTTTTGGAAATTTTTTTAAATAGAAGGTGTTGCTCATTTTCTCCATACAAAAAATAAACGTCGAACATACTTTGTATGGAAGAACCTGTGTGGAAAAAAATTGCAAAAAATCAACGCGATTTTCTAGCAACTTCAAACTTGCACTTTCTTATACTAAAATTGAATGGGATATAGAACTGCATTCTTAGAATTTTTCTAAAAAAATCCGAATAAAAAGTCGAAAAGTAGTATGCAAATTTATTAAATTTTCTTGAGTTTTGCATAAAGTTCGGAGATTTGATTTTTAAGTTTTTTGTTGGAGATGAACCATATTTTTATTAAAAATTATCGCAAATAAATAAGAATAAGAAACGAGTTATAATTTTTTTTTTAAGACCACTGATTTCAAGTCGCCCAAAGTCAAAGCGAGCTGTCGCAGAGAGTGAGTGAGTTGAGATGGAGTCGGGTGATTACAGCCTAAGTAAAGTGAGCATTATAGCATTATATACACTCTAAATACACTCTACACAATTATTTTTCAAACGTACTTCTAGCGGAATAAGTTTCACCACTGTTTCAAGGGAATTGCGCATAGCAGGTATACTGAACTCTGATCGCCATCGTGTTTTACCTTACTTAGTGAAAAACTTAATCATGACACGGAACTTAGCCTTCGCCATAATTGATCTATTAGTTTGTCCTGCGGTATTTCGAAAGCTTATGGAAACCCAAATTGCATTTAAGGCTTTCTTTTCAAAGTGGTGCTAAGTATTATGCAAAAACAAAACCAATTTCTTTCTCTAACACCAACATTACGCGCACTTTTTGACCTCCCCTCGTAATTACAAGTTCATACATGTGTATGTATTTATACCCCAACGTATGCTACGAGTAGCATCACGTTTATTTCCGGTTATACCTATTTGGATTGTTTTGATTTTTAGTTTATTTGGGGTTTCTTTATGCGATTTCGCTTTATCTTGTGTACCTTGAAAGGGTTTCAGTTCACAGGCAACAGTGCAACTAGATCTGCCCTTCGCATTTTTTCAATCTAACTAAGCGAATTTTCAAATCAGCGTGCTCCGAAAAATAAAAGATGCTATCTACTACAAAAGTTTACTTCTTCTTATTTGTTTACTTTCAAGCATCGCATTGTTTATTCGAGTTTCTATGAACTTTGCTGTGAAGCAGGTAGATACACCACCAATTGTCCAGCAATTTTTTGCTCATGCTCCTTACACGCTTTCCATGATATCCTTTGTATATTTGCTTGGCCTTGTTTATTTTCATTTTGTAGGGATTTGTTACGAATTTTTGGTTTGTTTGTTGTGTGATTTTTCTTCTAATAAATGTGCTCCCTACATATGTATGTGAGTTGTTCGTTTACCTTGTTTTCTCCGTGCTTTCTTGATTGTCTATGATAATATTTATTTAAGCTTATATGAGCCACGAAACCCAATTTTGCATCATTTGTGAGGTTTAAGTGTAATACTTTCACATGTGTAACGGTAATGGAAAATTATTTTACTTGCAAGGTAACTCACTTGGGTTAAAAGTTGTTTTTATGTAAATCCTTAAAGGTAGGTTATTAATTCCAGTAGAGATTACTGCCAAAGACGGTTTTGTGTAGACTTAGAAAATTCAACAGGTAGACACATTTGCTTTCTTTACCCGTTTAGAAGTAGTTAGTCGGAAATGTGTTGCTAATGTCATAAGCTTTTAACGTACTTGAGTTGAAGATCTTCTGGATTTATGTCGAAACTAATTTTTTATAACTTTTTCAATTTAAATAAGCGCTAGCATGCAGAATATCTATCGTAGCAATATTTAAAATTTTGAAATTTAACGATATTTTAATTTTTTTTTAAGTTTAAGATACTTCAAAATTTCAACATTAAATGGTGAAAATGTTACTTTTGCCAAAACGAACCAATCTAGATTAAGTTCAAGTTAAGTGTGCCTCCATTTTCGACCAAAAAATATGTTTTTGTCGATAAATGTAACAACTCGATAGATTTGCGCATATGCCATGTAAGAAAAAGGTGTAGATGGTGGTGAAAATTCCCTATCGCCACTGGATCACAAATTTTAGTTTTGTTTTTGCTGTCCAGACGCCACTATCCAATTCCTATGTAGAATTGCTCGGTGAATCCGAAAGAAAGTCGAGTTAATTTTTTTTTCTATGGATACGTTTTCGAGATATTTGTAATTTACCGTTATTCAGCTTAAAAACAAAGTGGTTCCATTTAAATCGTAATAATTAATAACTCTAGATTTTTTGTTTTTTTAATGAAAAAATTAAAAAAATTCAAACTTTGACAGGGGAAAAATAAAAAATAACGACTTTTATATTTTTTTAAATTTATTTTTTGGTTATTTAATTTCTCAGAAACTATCAGGCCTATCGAAAAGTGATGTATATACGGTTTATGGAGAATTTTATTGGCTTTCATTTGCCGTATTACGATTGTTCAATTAATTAATCAGCTATACGTGATTCAGTGGAACCACTCTTTTTTAAGCTGAAAACCGGTAAATTGCAAATAAATATCTGGAAAACGTATAGACAGCAAAAAAAAATATGAAATTATCTCGATTTTCGGAATCACATAGCAATTGGATAGTGGCATCCACAGAAAATTTTTGCTGTCAACCAGTGTAATTTATCAAAGGATTAATGGGTTTCTTGAGAAGCTTTTTCGTTGCAGTATAACATTCGTGTCTTTCCGATTGTTTAATATTTTGATTATGTGCGACCGGGAGCTGATCTAAACTCACGCATAGCATGGACAATCATTTTTTTCCTGTTGTAGACGTAGAAACATTAAATGAAGTCTAGTTTGAAACAAAGTGGACTTTCCGTCACGTTCTCTGAAATCTGCTGCTTATTGTGCCGGTGTATAGGCGACCTTGATTTTTTTTTTCAATACCAATGTGTAACGGAGGATGTGTGGAGGATGGTTCCGTGCGCAGGGAGGATGGTTCCGTGCGCAGGGAGGATGGTTCCGTGCGCAGAAGTGGAAAACTTTTGACTGCCATTCACCTGGGAGTGGCCAGAAGCGATTCTTGTGCGTACGGTTCAAATCGCAGCTCACAACGTCCGGATATTTATATCCACGTATCCTCTGGGTAGCAACCAAACACCCGTTTGGGAGCGAGCTAAAGTGAGAAGGCGTAAAACTTCGCGTGCGCTGGGTTTGGGTCCCGCCACGTTAAAACCCCGCCCAATGAAAAATTCCAACAAGCCTCGGATGAGACCTCCTTTTTCTGATGACGACCACGGCAAACGTATAAAGGACTATGATTTAAGGGTATGCACCTGGAATATCCGGACCCTTAATGGGGAAGGTGCCTCTGCCCGGCTGGTTGATGTCCTCGGGAAGACAAAGGCTGACATCACCGCCATCCAAGAAATGCGATGGACGGGGCAAGGTAAAGTAAGCGTGAAGCCTTGCGACGTCTACTACAGTTGCCACGTAAAGGAGCGCAAATTCGGTGTTGGATTCGTGGTAGGAGAGAGACTCCGTCGCCGAGTACTGGCGTTCACCCCGGTGGACGAACGTCTAGCCACAATCCGCATCAAAGCTAGATTCTTCAACATCTCGCTCATCTGCGCCCATGCCCCGACGGAAGAGAAGGATGAGGCGTCCAAGGATCTC